CTTGGTCCTCAGCCGACGGTCAGCGTATTAGTAGACACTGGAAAATATCGCTGTAAATCTAATGTCCCGCTTTTATTAATCGCAAGAAGAAATGCAGGAGGTCCATATCAGAGTTCAATTCGGGCTGTGGGAGTCTGTTGAAGGAGACGTCGGCTTTCGGAGCCAGTCAGCCATTTGGTGACAGTATTGGGCTCAGTAACAGACAGAGCTCAAATGCCTCTCGACCCGTGCCGGCCAAGTCCTGGTCACTGCCTAATCAACCTCTTTTAGATATACGACATTTCCAGAGAAATCGAAAGGAGTCACAATTTCCGCCGATGAGGTAATGATCTGCTTTGATGCCGTTTCTTTATTCACACCTATTCAGATAGATTTCGCAAATCAATGCACAGATGCACTACTGAAGTCCTATGACACGGATGTTTCCGCAGTTGCCCTACTTGATTTTATAGACCTTTGTTTGGAAACCAATTTCTCATTTGAGCACAATTATCATTAACGGCTAAAAGGAGCTCCAATGGCATCACCGATAACCGGCCTTCTTGCTGAGGTGAAAAAGCAGAAACTAGCATCGGCAACCCTTCCAATGGTTAACCCTTAGCTGTGAGTACGATATGTGGACGACACATTTGCTGTCGTTAAAAATGACCAACTGGAAACGCTCCACAAGCTCATCAAAACATCCATTAAATTCACGCTCGAAAAAGAAGTTGACACTGGAATCCCATTTCTCGTACAGTCTTAGACTGACGCAACATTACGCACTTCCATTTACCGCAAAGAAACCTGTGAGGAGATAGTTCTACACTCTGAGAGCAACAGACTCATCTCTCATGCATCAATCGACACATTGAGTTAGGTTACACGTACAAAAACCTAAGGGAATTGTGGATGCGTAGAGATCCAATTACTACTGAATAAGGCACACGGAGGCCGTTTGCTGACGCAAGCGCCAAATAAATATCGATTTTTAAGTATGTTTGAAATGTTACTTGTTGTTGAAACATTTGGTCAAGTCTGAAGACGTCCTGAATTACCAGCGTCGAAAATTTGCCTAGGAAAATTTTCTACTTCTCCCAGTGAAGGTATTTGCCTTGAAATCATATTTCTTGGGATGGCTGCTTTCCAACTATACGAATATTTGCACGTCTGCACTTAGGTAAGTGACAGCCATATTGTTTCACGTCAGCCGTTACTTTGGCTGGCAACAGACCGCGCCTGTCGCAACTACTTCCAGTTATTTGGGGAGGGGGAGAGGAAGGGTAGGCGAGGTAGATGTGGTGGCATGCCCTGTCGTAGGCACTTATGTGATGAACATTACTCCATACAAAAAAGCACGTTAACAAGATTGTTTCTCAGCGAAATATAACTGCCGACAAAGCTAAGGGAAGGTCATTTCTGTCTTGTTGCTTCCGTGTCTAACCCCGAGGTATGCACTCACCGAGGCTCGAACGCGCGACCGCTTACTGAGATGCCCGACTCCCCAACCATTGTGCCACGAGATCGCTGTCCTGTCGATTGTGACCGGGTATATTAACAATGCGAGTGGCCAGACGCCTCCAGTGGCTTGCGTGTAGGGTAGTGGCTTTGGTTGTGAATGTACTGTGAGCGTTACAGTAATCAGGCCAAATTTTGATTAGCATGTGCAGATATTGTCATATAATGTCTGCGGTAGCGAGATTGAGCATGTAGTGTGATCCTCTTTAGGAATTTTATAGGTGGTGGGTGTCTTGTGGCCGATATGTTGACTCTATACTGCCCAAGACACGAACCGGCAGGCGCGTCAACTCCAGAGGCCTCAATGAATTCGATGTGCATCAGTAATGAGGATGTTGGTCGTTTCCGTGTTAAATCAGTCAGTCAGTCCGCGTATTTGTGAAAAAATAGTCTTATGCCTTTGATCTCCCTATTTCTAAATACAAAACCGATAAATATGCAGATTACAGCATTAAGTCAATGCAGACATTAATTCACATATGTCCCTGGTCTTATGGTCAAAAATTCACATAGTCCGCTTGTTGATGAAGCACATATCAGTCAAGCCGACATTTAAATGTCTCCACAGATTGAGACATGACAATCGTCTCGAGCATGTTATTCCAGAGTTCCATGACACGGTTGGATAATAAATATTTTCTCACATTCAATATACCGTGGGACATACGTAGCTTGAAGGGATGTCCCCGGAGATTAGTTTTAATGGCGAGTTGGAAGAAGTCATCGTACCAAAGGGCGCAGTCCAGGCCACGCACAATACGGAAAAGTTGTATCAAATCTCCGCAAAACTGCTTACAAATCGGAGGATACAGATTCAGGTTAGTAAAGTGGTAGTGCACTTTGCCCTCTTATTAATTTTGTTGCTCGCCTCAGCACCTTTTCGGGCTGATTGCAATCCTGTTGCGTCCATGGTCTCGAGGCCTGAAGTGCATATTTGAGGTGCGGCCCTACAAACGTGCCGAAGACCTTGGAGAAGCCGTCTTCATCGAAAACTGCGAATGCCCGCTTGATGGCATAAAGCATTGAAGTTGCGGCCTTGGCCACCTTACAACATTTTGTAGAAGTCTTTAGGCTCTCCGCAACCCAGACATGAGATCTGTCTCCGTTTCTGCTTTTCGGAGTAGCGTTCCCTTCAGATGGTATTGCCGCGTACTTGGGAGCCTGGTATTGTTTTTGCATACGGTTCAGAATACTGCTCGTACTCCCACAAATGTACCGCATGATCACTTCGACCAATCGGGGGTAGGCAGCACACCGCGTCCATACTGTCAGTATCTTCGGTGAAGACGAGGTCCAGACAACTGGCCTGTTGCCCTCTACCCGCTCTAGTCGGAAATAGAACACGTTGCGCGGGAGAGCTTCTAGTGTTGTCGTTAGTTGCCTGTAATCAAAGGCATTGTTCGAGCACTTCGCATGCTTATCGCTCCACTGAATTCAGAGTGCATTAAAATCCCCTATGAGAACAACGTCTGGTCGAATGGCGATCTCTTTTTGCCTTCAAGCAGACAATTTTCTGAATCGGGATCTGCCTGTAGGGCTGGTAGATAGCTATGACTTAGAGGGACTGAGACACCCGTGCCTTTATCGTCATCCAACTTGCCTCTGTGTCGTCAGAAATCTCGTCAGTCACACACTGAAGCGTGTGCGAGAGAGATACTTTAGGTCGAATTTCGTAGATATTTACAAACATCTTCGATGAATAGTGCAATATCCTGACTTTCGTATTCACGAGTACACTGACAGATTTCTAGACTCAGCTAAGGGTGTTTGCTTTAGTAGAAAACATACTTTCCCGCCAGAATCCACAAGCAATTTAGCAAGGGGTATGCATAAACTGTGGCCTTGGAATACGCCATAAAATGCGTATCGCCAAATATTTTCCTGTTTCGGCGTACTTGATCATGAAAATCGTTTTATGACTATCTAAGATAAATTTTTATATATTAAATTCATGCACCTAAAGAGACAGTTAATTTGAGCAGTCGGCCATTTAAAGCTCACAAAATCTGATTGTTTCTTAGTCGGGTATTTACTTACTACAACTAACTGAGGGCAGAGGTCCTATCAAACTTGGACTCTAATATACAAGGGCCATTTCATTTTCTGTCATTCCTCTTTTTTGATCCCTACATGGCTTAGCATTCTTCACTGAAATATCTGCATACTATCACATTTTAATCATTTGCATTGTGCGTGGCAGCATATTTAACTGAAATATTTAAAAAAGAGGGAGAGATTTTAAATTTCACGCACATATATTGTTAAATTTCGTGTCAGCTTACAATACGTTAGATATACCGGTTGCTGACAGACAGTAAAAATATATTATGGGCAATGCTATATCATATATATTTAATCATATGAATCAACGGAAGCAAACCTCACAAGACGCCTGTATGTAGCCTCTGATAGCCGCAAATGCATTAAATCCTGTCTCAACTAACGCTAACTACATGTGAGCTATCCAAAACGTGCTGGAGAAGATACATCCGTACGAGCAATTTAAATTTTGTGACGGAAAGCGCGATTCTGAATGAGAAGCTGAATTTGCCCCGTCACCCCTTGCTGACTTCAGCGTACATCTAAAAGCAGTCGGATAGGTTGCTGCCGACTAGCTTGCTTCACCTGCCATTTTTAGATCAATCTGGCACACCAAATGGGTGACGCATTTGAATCATCTTAACCCTCCCAGAGGGTGGAGTGATCAGTGAGCGATCTGATTGACGCTTGAGTGAGGGGCTGATGAAGGCCTCCTACTGGTAGTTTCTGGGTAGTGGATCTGTCTGTGCTGCATAAATAGGGCTGGCTGGCAGACGTGTTTGAGTTTAGAAAAGCCCTATCGAGTTAGCGTCCTATTCCGAAGTCTTTCTGTCCTGCGCTGCGACCATGCCTGTAACTGAACAGCCGGATTTGCGTGAATGGGAGGACGGCCTTTGTGACTGCACAAACGACGTCAAGAATTGTCAGTATATCGTGCAAATATTAACAGCTCACTGGATTCTATTCATCTGGGTCCCCTAACATTCTGTTTAGCATTTCTCGCCATATGTTTATGCAGTTAACTGCATGTTGAATATGGAGATTTTATTGGCTGTTGTTGACAATATCTTTCACAAATTGTCGCAGAGATATTTTGCAGCGAGTGTGCGTGAAAATATACCCTAACTGAGCGTTGAAATAGGCGTTTAGTGTAAATATTCCTCTTCCTGACATTATGCTAGCTCGCAATTCTCATACGGTAACAATTGCCTTGAATAAATACCGATTCCAATCAATAAAAGCAGAATGAAACAGGAAGGATTCGCCAAAGGATAAAGAATTAAGGATCGGATGGAATGAGATGACCCCTCAATCTGAAAGTCCTTGTATTTCATCGCTCAAATATTCACTTTGTAGTGAAAACATGAGACTCCCTGGAACATCTTCAGCTATGTTTATTCAGGAACTGATCAATGTCTGTGAATATCAAATTGCATCTTCTTCTACTTCTATCCGTTCTAGGCATGCTGACTGCCTTCTGCTGTCCCTGCATGGTCTGCTATGAATATAAGCTGCAAGATGAGGGTTGTGCAGCTCCGCTGTGTGTACTGCACCCAGTCCTCGTGCTGGCTTCGCATTATCGCGGCAAACAAAATATCGAGGTATGCTTACTCCCTGTTTCTTTGGCCTATTCTTTTTGGATGCAATCTGATGTCATTTAAATCGGTTTTCAGCAAAAACTCACCCTGATTTATATGACTGTGGCATAGGGAATAATTCTGTGATTCAGACTAACACTCAACTTGTGTGTAATTGTAACCTCGAAATGGGCTACATCCTGAACGATTTCGCAAGTCTCTCTTAAATCACATGCGTCAATTTTTGTGTGATTGTCCTGCATGCCTACCCAGTTTATATAGGTGCTTCTTCAGCCGTCTGTTCTACTCCCCGTCATTGATATTTTGGTGATGTTTATTGTTTTCATGAAATAATAGTGTCTGTTTTGATTTCTCTGCACGACACACGCACACTCACACAGGGAAGTCTCATAAAGGACTGCTGTGTCAGCACCTTCTGCATGCCCTGCAAGCTCTGTCAAATACACCGGGACTACGAGGCCAACTAGTTTTGGGGGAAGCGGATGAAGCCGGCTAGCATCGTCCCTGCCTCCACTCCGACAATGCATTAATGTGGACCAACGAAAGCCCAACTCGCACCGTCCTCCACTCTGCCGACTGCCAGTCTTTCATGTTATTTTTGTACATACTGTTTCAATTACAATTTTGCCAAGACCACAATTCGCACTGGTCTCATTTTCGTCTCTTCTAAAGAAGCTATCTCTAGTTATGTGAACCGTCATGGTACTTCTGTATTTCCACAGTGAACGCTAGAACCTACGTAGTGTTCGTTTTTACGATCAGCAATCCCTTGAGGAAGGAGATCTGCTCTCATTCCTTTCAGTAACGAAGCTGTTGCGTAATTGTCGGGATCAGATGCATCGACGGGTCCAAATGTTAACGTGTACATTCACGTCACCACTGTCCACATTCTATGCTGTGTATGTTTGAAATGGATATCTAGTTTTCCTAAGAATGCTTTTGGCAGCCAGTGTTATTAACTTGACCATCGAGGAGTCAGAAGGGTAATCGTTGAGGTAACTATCATAGGAGACATGCCTTCAATGCGCACATGAGTGTGTAAAAGCCTCACAGGAGGCTACAATTTTAAAAACGCATGCAAATTTACAGAATTGCATTCAGTTACCCCTCCCCCTGGTTACATCAAACCACTTCATTGCGTTGTGCGTAAGTCTGCATTCTCCGGGCTCTGTCGGTCACTGTGTCCAATACTGTCCACAGATTGCTGACGAGCTCCTAAGGGCAGACTGTTGCGTGAAGAGTTTTTTAGAATATACTCACCATCAATAGTCATTATCAATTAGATTCTCTTTAATTGCAAATAATACATAGTTCTTAGCCGACAATCTGCCATCTCCGACGATGTCAGCATAAACAGAATCCCTCAGACGCAATTGGACTCTGACATGCATCTCTCGAATTCCTCCTAAATAAAATCACGTTTAGCGCCTTCTTCACTGACATTTGAAAGTCAATATTTATTTTCTGTCATTCGCATTTTCGGAATCAATTAACAGGATAGTGTTGGTGAGGAGGCACTTGAATTACAGTACATTTTGTTCTGTGATTACCTGATCATCCGCTGTCAGAGCGCTCATGTAGGCTCTCCTATACACAGATGAAGTTTAAAAAGTACCAGCGTAAGTTAAGTATTAACGCATTCTGTTGTACTGAAAAATCACTCGACGTGGATAATGAGTATTTACTATAACTAACATATTTCTAACACTCTTTATGATAATAATAAAAGTATTAGATTTGTATGTTTGGAAGCTTAAGTTTTCAGGAATCCATCATGTACTTAAATTTCCAAGGGGGCAGAGGGTCATTATGTTGTAATCGAATTCAACAGCGCAAACAAGCAGTGCGTCAATTTTAATAAGATTAAACTTTATTGGATTGCTTAGCTTTCGACCAATCCTGAAAGCGAATGATTGAAACAAATCCCACAGATTGAGCATAGGGGTTTTTTTGCGAATTAATGTGACCAAAGGGCGTAATAGTTAGAGAATGCTTTACATGTTTGTAACCCGTCCATCTGACAGTTGTGCCACTTTTAAAACTTCAACTCTAATATAAAAAAGCCGTTTCATATTCTGCCATTCGCATTTCTCAACCCCAGATAAAGAGAGCGTGCAAATCAGAATTTACTGTTTCCAAATCAATGCACAACTGTAATATCTGTATTTTTTACAAAATGTCGAGAGAGCAAAAGTACATAGCAATCAAAGAATTTGACCAGTTAATGAAACATTTTTCTCATCGTTTCCATATCGCATTCCCATCTGAAAAATATTTGAAAACTCCTTAAACAGAATAGACACACAATGCGAGTTCGGAAAACCTGTAAAAAAGTCTCATTGAACCGTTCTGGAATCTGTGCGAAAGCTGTCAGCTACTTACTAATCGCAGCCTAGGTGTGGGTATTCACTGTGCCAGCAACCTGTGGCCTCTCTCGCCTCCAGTCTGATTCACTTTCTCATGTTAGTGGGCTCAGTTGGGAGAAGAGGAAAGAGTGCGCAAGTACAGCGCAAGGTTTACATAATTTTAAACGAATTTGTGCGCAAGTAACCATTAATGCTTCTAACTTTTTATGCTGCATGTGGTGGACATCGACAATCTCGACGTACATATGACAAATTTCATTGCACAGAACGTTTACCTCATTTTATAGGAAAGCATGGCAGCGAAATTCCGAATTCTGTAAAATCTCATTTCGAATTTCCTCGGCACTGCGAATGTGCGATTGCTTTGAATGCCCCCACGGACTGTTTTTCTAGTCCAGTCAACTACTTTAACTGGGGTCGAAGTTGAGTATGCCGCGACCAGGTCTTTTTATGACAATTCATCAGAATATCCCTTTTTACAAATTTACCAATTAATGAATGTTACTGTTTATTTTAGCTTGTCGTCATGTAGTTTACAGGGAATTTCATGTGGTTTACACGTTGATCCTGTTTTAATAATACTCCTGCAAATATATGGTGCGTGGGCTTGTATGCTTCAGAGACGTGCAAAATTGTCAAAAGGTACGTCTATGTACATGCTTATAACAATGCACGGAAAGTTCACCAAAAATTTATAAGCATTTGAGGTTGAAATGAGGTTTTCACATTAAAAATCTGATAGGAATTGGGCTCATCGGTGACGGCAATCATGTAACATGTGCATGGTATTGAATGCATCTTGACAGCTTAGGGATATTACGCGGCTTCCCCAATGTAACTGGTTGATTTTGGCACAGATTACCGGGTATGTTGTAATGTATGCTAAAGTGTTCACTGCAGCAAGTCGTCGAAAAACAAGGCTGGGAATTTAATTCAGTGTCCGTCCTCTCACAATGGCAAATCGTTTCCCCTCGATAACCATACAATACTTGACGTATTTCGTGAAAACGGGAGACAGAATCTGATGTGAGAACTTAGCATTTGCGCATTTTGCTAGTCCGCTCAGCCTTTTTTAGGAAATGTTCTGATCTTGGGTAACAATCGGAGATGGCACCCAAAAAATCCGCCAAATCAAAGCAGCCTGTTTTACGGGACAGGTGGTAATAGGGTTTTGTGGGTGGTGGCTAGCCGGGATGTACGATACTAGCCGACGAAGAGCATTATTTGAACAGGTGAATGATCGAAGTTGGCTCGCTCCCCATTCCGGTATTACAAAATGGATCGCCAAATGCAGTATAGTGGTAACAGACGAGTGGAAGGCGTATAATCGTCTTCCCTCAGAAGGCTATCTACATTTCTCTGCTAACCACTCAAAGAACTTTAAGGACCCTACCGCAGAACGGCACACCAATGACATTGAGGCATACTGGAGTAAACTGAAAAGGAAACTCCACGAGGGAGGCCCTGTATGTGGTCGAGCGGTGTGGGCTCACATAGACAAAATACAGTATCGTCTTTGGTTTGGCCTCAATGTCATGTCTTTGACAGATACCTGGGAACTGTTTCTGTCCCATGTTGTGCAGACTTATCCTATTTAAATTTGATTTTGTTTTGTAATAACCTGCCATAATGCGAATGTATGCCGTATATTAAAGTGTACATGTGTAACGATGGGGAAGGTTGGGTAATAGCGACCATCGCTCATGTAACCTCCTGCGATGTTCGTTCGGCCAGCCCATGTTAGGCCGTCGTGGAAAGTCCGAGTAGTGCGTAATCGTAGGTTTGTAACCGCAGATATAGCCTGAAGGCGTTTGAGTCCACTGATAAAGGTATTATTTCTAGGTAACGGAATTTTTAAGTGCCATCTCCCGATTGTTACCGCCAATCCTATTCAAAATTATTAAGCACGAATGACCTTATAAAAAATATTGTTCCTATGATGTCCTTGTCGATGAAATCAAGCAAATTCTTGCTTTTCTCATTGGACCGAATCTCAGTTAATTAAAAAGACTTTAGGATACCACAAATTCTTGGGAAACTGTTATGGAATCCATACCCAGAATATAGGCTGTTGGCAAGACGCCATAGCTGGAATTACACTAATTATTAAAGTATATTTAAATGTAAACTTCACTACAACATTATTTTTAACTGTGATAGTATTTGTGCTTTCATATTCCCTCAGGTTTTCCATGGGCAGACGTTTCAAAAATTTAAAAATGAAGTTTACTAAACTGCAACCCTTTGGACGTTTTCGGGATTTCGCGTTTTCTAAAAAAATTGGTATTTCTCAAGAACGAAAAACTGTCTTTATTATTTGTTTTATGCTCAAAAATTCTCTTCAAGCTGTGCCTTATTGACATAGATATTGGGTCCACGGATTGGTGCCGGTTTGCATGTGATTAGCAGTCATTCGTAAATTTCGACAAATTGAGTTAGGTCACCCACTGTATGTGTGAGGAAGTATCCTCTACAAGCAAGCCTAAAAAATCAGAACGTAAACGCCACATCCCATCTGAATCCGCTTGGAAGGTTAGAGCCAAAGTCTCCTGACTTTCACCAGGTGTCCTGGTTTTGTCTTGGGTGTGCCAATTCCACAAAATATTATGTCCCCTAATTTTACATATACCTATGGACAAATTTTAGATGTGGCATTGCCAAAAAGAGATCAGTTTTGCACGCATTAATTACATTTTCGATTATGTACCCTCTGTTGACTGCGAGCTCCGTAAATGCTGCTGGGAACCTAAGCCAGCCTGTGTAAGCCTGAAGACCGAGCTCTTCTACCTCGTTCACATGCCGTCTTCGTAAGTGTCCTTAACTCCGCAGCAACTACGCGATCCGCTGCTAATTTATTTACAACTGCGTTCCGTAATCGAAGCTGATGCTTGCTGCTTGCTTTAGAGAGAGAGGCGTAATTGACTAAAGCTAGCCGTAGTTCTCTGTGGCATGAAAGATCTGCGTCATTGGATGCTCGCAACAAACAGAAAACTAGGGAAGTGCCGAAGTGATATTTTGCCAAGAAACAAACTTATTGATGTACATTTTCTTTTGGAGTGATGTTCATCACATAAGAACCTATGACAGGGCATGCCACTACA